CATTTGTGATTGGCCATCATGGCAATTACACTCTGGCTCTGTGCTTTTTACCTGTGCTCTGCTCTGTCTCATGACAGCTTGATTACAGGTGTTGTGCCCACATACGATGTAAACAGGAAACAGGGTGCCGTTATAAATGGAGCTCCGGAACACCACTTCTACTACTCCGCCATTTAAAACATACAGCAGTAGTGAAATGGTTAATCATGCATTTTCTGTCCCTCTTTGTTCCACAGTGCTCTCTTATTGAGGTCCGTTTTTGACATCTGTGTAAATAAATACAATGTTGGCTGCTCATTAAGTATATCTGTAGCTTTTTGTCTTTAGTGTTAGATAAATATTGATTAAAACTGTGTGTGTTTAACATTATCAAGACTTCCCTTCACAGTGCCAGTGAAACAGAATGAAAAAAGAAAAAATGTCCAAATTCAGGAAAGATAGAACATTGTCATCAGAACAGGTGTCCCCATTGGAAGATTTTTTCTCTGTTGTATCTAAAACCTTTAACCCTTTTGCTATCAGGTCCATATGTCTTTAGGGCTTGACAGCGGGGATTTTTTTATACACAATCCGGTGGCTACAGCCACCAGGATTGTGTATAAAACTGACAAGCAGATTCCTGCCTGTCAGGTGGAAGCAGTTGGGCGGCTGTGCTGCCACACGATTGCTTCCTCAGCCCCCCGTAACGTGCCCCCAGGCTCTGCTTTCCCATCTGCGAGTCTGTGAAGTGACATGGTGGGTGGAGGGGAGAGAGGGGAGCAGACACACGTCCACTCTCCTCCGCTTGTTGCTGTGACCTGGAAAATGACATTCATGACATCACTTCCGGGTCACCGCTGTCACTTTCCCAGGCTAGAAAATAGTCAGGGAGAGATGTATTGCAATGCGATCTGCATTGCAATACATCCAGTGGAGCCCAGAGGAGACATGCAGGATCTTTTAGACACTGCATGGCTCATTAAAGAGAACCCGTCACCTAAAAAGCGTCACATCGGGTAGTCTGGTGTATGGAATGGCCTCAGCTGCCACTCTGGCCATGCCCTCTGATGCATTTCACCCCGCCCACCAGGGCTTGATCACATGGGGCATCAAACCCACCTGGTTAACATGGATATATTGGACAATAAATCCATTAAACCTCTTGGTGAAGATTTTAGTGAGTACCTTAAGATGCAGGTAAATAATGAAATTGGCCTATAGTTGGTGACTTCACCTGGATTCCTGTTGGGCTTGCGGATCATACAAATATGAGCCCTATTAAAGTTCATGTCTAAAGCTGGGTACACACTATAAGAAAATTGGGTGAACAATCGTCCGGTTTTCCTCGATGTTTCACAGCTAGTCTAACCCAAGAATGGTACTAATTGTACAAAAAGTCTCAACCAACAAAGGCTTTTTTTTTTGTTTGACATAGAAACATTGTAGCATAGATTATTGTTGTTTATTGTTTCTGATCATGCGCAGTCTTTCATATCTGTTTTTTTCTTGTACGAAATGAGTACACATTAAACAATTGTTCTGTTCACATATGAGAAAAATTTGGGAGTTTGTCCCTTTTTGGAAATTTTGGTTTGGAAAGTTGGAATGGGATGTCGAAGGTTGTGTACACACTTTACAAAAAATGAGTGACCGTTCCTCGTATGGAATTTTTTTTCCGATTTTCTCATAGTGTGTACCCCCCTTAAGAGTGATCCCTGTCAGAGCGTGTTTAAAAGATTTAACTAAATGGGGCACCAATTGCAGGGCAAAGTTGTTTTACTATAGCACAATGAAGCCACAAGTTTCTGAGATCTTGCAATACTTATACTTCTTGATAACCTCTAAGATTTCTTCTATATTGTATGTGTGGGCCTTTGATAAGAAGGGGATTGGAAGTTGCTCAAGAAAGCTCTTGATATCTAGAATCCGTTAGTCATTAAGGGGCTGTGTAGAGGGATCTGGGTTGCTTAGGAATGATTCATTAAGTCTCCAGGAGAAAGTGGTATTTCATCCCTCGGAGCTTTGTAAGGTTGTTGCCATTGGAGAGTCATCTGATCAAGGGACCTCCGTAATTTTGGGTAAGGTAAGTAGGGGAATGACGTGTATGTGTGGTTGATTTGTGAATATGAGGAGTGGATGTGGGAATAGTGGGCGTAATCCCTTTTGGTCTGGTTGAGTTCCCTTCAAACACCAAGCAGGTCATGGTAGAATAACCCTAATATTTGAGCTAAGTTAGTTCCTAGTTTGAGTAGATGTTTAAGCAGGGATTTGTCTTTATTAGTATTGTCAAGGATTAAGTCTAAACCTACATTAGAACTAGCCCTTCAACTTGTTAAAACGGGGTATGAAGCATTGTGCAGAACAAGGCAACTAGCCCAAGTAAGGCACATAATAAGAAAGGAAAGTGACTTTTGTTCCCTGCAGTTCAACCCTCATAAAAATGTAATGCCCACCTGGGTTACAGATTGTCTTGTCAGGGAGGAAAGGGGGTATGGTATTTGAGGAAACAATGGATAATGTTTGTGAAGAAATTTGTGTATATGAGGATGGCGAATAAGTTTCCTGTAGAAGGGTTATTTTTCTTATTGAATGATAATCTTACAATGCCTTAGAGATTTTATCCTGAGAATTCATGCCCTGAGCATTGTGAGAAAGGCTGCACTGCAACTGGGTCAGAGCTAAAGGTGACTAGTCGCAGAGGTCCAAAGAACAATGCGCAGTGTCACTCTAGAGTAATTCGATTGGTAAAGGTTATAGCCAGCACTTACATGGCATAGATTTTTCAATAGGCCTGGTTGACAGTTCATAAGGCTTCATTTCAGAAAGAATTCTCCAGAATCAGAGAGAAACTTATTATAAGACAACATTTAGTAAGGAAGGGGCCAGGTTCACCAGTCACCCAGTATGTAAATTTTAAAGGATCAAATGTAGGGGACCCGTTTTGGAAAACGCAACAGATAGGGAAGTTCCATTGGGCACACTCAGTGGTAACAGAGGGTGGGTATGGAGCGTGGTGCACCACATAGAGGAAATCAGAGAAGCTTTTCCTTGGTCCTATCCCATCAGCATTTTGAGCTTGCCATGTCTAATTGGGCTAGAGGTTTCAGATGATGGAAGTTCAAATTGCTTCAAGAGTCCCCCTCTTAAAATGTGGACTGTGGTGTGGGAGATATTCACGTAGATTTGGATTGCGTGGCTCCTGAGCTGGATATATTGGTTAGGTATGGAGATCCCTAATGCAGTTTTTTTTTTTTTTTTTTGTTCTGCCAATAGTTGCGCAAAGTTTACTTTCTATAGTTTACTTGCAAAATTTCAATTTCCTGAATTCATGTTTCAATTCAGAGGTTCTCTATATTGGCTTTTTCAAGATCTTGTTTTAGTAGATTGGAAAATCTGGCACTGGTAATGGGATCACTAAAGTATTCTGACTGCAGAGGCATAACTAGAGATTCAGGGCTAAACCCCAGGCTATTCTGGCTCATGTTATAGCTCTGTCCAGGGAAGAGGGAATGGACCCAGGGAATCCCTTAGGGGGAAGGTGCAAGAGAGACTGCAGGGGAGATCAGCATCCCACCCATCAGAAGAATCCTTGAGTCCTTGGGAGACATTTGTGCAAGGCATTGTACTGTATTGTTGTGGCTGTGATGGTGTTGGTGCAGCTACCATTTTGCTTTCTGTGAAGGCTAATGAAGTTCTGTCAGGGTCTGGAGCAGTTGTGTTTTTGCTCTGCCCTTCGCCACCTATCCCATGCTGGTTTGCAGTGGGGAAATGTGAAGCAAAGTGGTTCCTCTTAACTGCTGCTTTCAGTGGGGTTTGGCTGACTGGGGAGCAGAGAAATCCAGCATCCTCTATCTTCAGAACACATTTATGTGTGTGTAATATAAACTGTACCATGTTCCATGAACATCATGCATGATGTCGCTTTCTTTTTAAACACGCTGCAGAAGCAGCTGTGTTTATGTTCTTTGGAGTGATTTGTAGCTCCTGGGTTCATTGCTGGACTGCTTTTGCCAAGCCCTAACATGTTTTTGAAATGGCAGTGGGACATATTGCCACTGTTCCAGTGCTGTTTTAAATGTTGGACTCAAGTGGTTAGAGTATTAACAGCTATAATACAGTTTTCTTTAAAGGATAAGTTCACCTTTTAGCAAAAAAAATAATAAATTCACATTTTTTTGCAGGTAAAAAAAAATGTGCATTTATTATATTTTGTTTGTGGAGCCTCTAAGGCATTGCACTAGCGATCTGGTGAGCCATGCAGGTCTCCTTTGACCTGACATTATATCTGCTTCTTTTTACATCCTGTACGGGCAAGCAGATACTTACTGATAGGAAGGTTCAATGAACTACCATGGCGCTGTGGAGTGCCGTAGTAGTTCATTGAAAAATACAAGCTGACAGCTACAAAGGCTGCTGGGACTTGTTTTCCTGTTCACAGAATACTCTTTTTTTTTTTTTTTTTTTTTTTTTTTTTTTAAGTTGTGAGAGCTAGCGGGGAGGAGAAGATCCCCACTAGCTGTCACATCGCGGTGCAGGGGCCAATCCGATCGTAACATGTTTACACCCTGAACACTGATATAACATGTAACATGTTACGAAAGGTGAACTTATCCTTTTGTATTTATAATTCTTAAATATTAAGCAGCAAATTGCCTCCATTCTTCCCCAGATGCTTGTCCTGTCCCTGACTACTGTCCTGCAGAATGCTGAAATTCCCTTTACATCTTTTGAGAACAATTGCTGCAGAGGTATACTTCTTGACTGAAAATGACTCGGGACAAATGAGGCTGCTGGGAACTGAACTTTACAGCAGTATTTTGTTTGAACAGAAGTCACTGAAAAAAGTGTAATTCACAGCTTTATACTTAGAACCACCAAGTTCATATTGGATATTTACAAAGCCCTTCTTAAAGCACACCTTTACCTGTAAAGCACAGACTTTTGATTTGCTGGTCCTCGTTACTGCACTTATTTAAGGAGGAATAAAAAATACTAAGCATTATTTCTTTTTTTTCACAGCATTATGGGGGTCATTATTCCGGATCCACCAAGGGTGAGTAAAGCATCTTTATTTTACCTGCTGCTTTTGCACATGTTTTGTAACTAGGGTAAACCACTCAAAATTAATGTTATTGGAAAAAGGAACGTGCAGCTCATGCACTCAGGAAATATGATTTCTGTTCTCTTTGAGCTGCTGTTGTACCACAGGATGACATTATAGTTGCTGTGCAGCATCTGCCAAAAAGAGAAATATCATTTTGGGTGAATTGATTCTTAAAACTCAGACTATATTTGATTTCACTTTAAATGAGAGCAATATAGTCTTTATTTTTTAAATGCCAACCTTCAGAAAGGTACTATACAAACCATGAGCGGGCTGGTTTAACTTCATGGTAAGTAAAAGTATCTGTGTCGGGTTAAAAATTAAAAACTTCATACTAAAGGCCCCTGCAATAGAAAACTCTTTATACATCCCTCTTCTGCAGCTGCTATCTTACTCTTCGGGATATGTTGGGTAGGTAGTCCCCAGTTGTGTGCCGAGGTTCCTTCTGCAGACCACACAACTCCCCAGTTTTGATGTACAAAAGAGTTGCTTTAAGGTTAAAAGTTTAATAGAATATGCATTTACAAACTGTCATATAAGAATATATTTTCGTCTAATGGCTGTGTTTTGACTGTCAGAGTGTCCGCTGCTGGCAGCTTACTTTCTCAGAGCTGTATCCACACTACTGCTGCTCTGGAGAGAAATGGTTGGGAGATGAAGAACAGAATTGTGTATCCACCTCAACGTCCTGATGAGCCTCGAAGGCCAGCGGTGAGTCCAGAACATGACACTATGGGGTAGATTTACTAAAACTGGAGAGTGAAAACTCTGGTGCAGGTGTGCATGGCAGCTAATCCACTTCTAACTTCAGCTTGTTCAGTCAAGCCTTGACAATAAAACCAGGAAGCTGATTGGGTTCTGTGCAGAGCTGCACCAGATTTTGCATGCTCCAGTTTTAATAAATCAACTCCTAGGGGGCTTTCTGGAGTGTTATAATTTATGATAAGTTATCTGTTAAAGATGAACTATATGTGAAAAGGTTATTTTAAAGGTAACCCTTCCTCCACCCTTACTAAAACTAACAGAAGGCACCACTAGCTGCCTGCTATTACCACTCTTGTCCAGGCTTCATATCAAAACAAAAGTAATCATTTTTTGAGGTAAAATAAAAACGTAGCAGGACTTGCTTGCTCTTTAAAATGATAAAACTTACTTTAGTTTAAGTAATTCGGTCAATTAAATATTAAAGAAGAGCGTAAATAATCACTTCTACTGCAGCCTGAGCTGCCAAATGCCGCTCTGATAAAAGGGAAATTGTCCCCTGAAGTCTACTTGGAAACAGACACTGTATCTCCTGTATCCCTGCTTTGCTCAGTGGATACTCTTGTCAACCCTTACTTCACTATTGGGTACAGTAGTGACATGGGGATCGACAAGAGGAACCACGAAGTGCAGCATAGGACACAGGAGATCTGCAGTATATACCCGGGGAGAGAGGGTCTCAACAAGTGAGTGTAGTTGAGAAATCTGGTACAGAGATCTAGATACTCAAAAAAAGAAACTGGATTCAGTATGTTGGCATCTAATTTGCTCACAGGTTTTGAATTCCGATGATTTTACAGCAAAGACCAGTAAACCGTATGTACCATTTTTTTTTTCCCTTGAAGGAGGTATTCCATTGTCGGAGGCAGATCAAGTACAGTCCAGACAAGATGTGGTATTTGGCCAAACTGGTAAGCTCCATTTCCGCCTCATCACATAGCTGCCAAACATTACATGCATCTTTGGATATAATGCTTACATTTCTAAGCATTAAAGTAGACCTTGCATCAAAATACAAAGTCTCATTCTTTACCTCATCCCCATTAGAAGAAAATTAAAAGAAAAAAAATGCATTACACCAATCCTCCACCCATGGCGTCTAGGCGAGGATGACAAGCCTGGTGAGATGGGAATTCCAAATCCTAGAAGCAAATGCTCTATTACTGTGCTGGAGTGTAAAGAGTTTGTTTAAAAAAAAAAAAAAAAAAAATCAAGGTTTACAAGTTTTATACTTATCAGTTCTGCACAATGGTATTACACAGAGCGGCCCTGATCCTCCTCTTCTCTGATCGCCTGACAGCGCTCTAGGCTCCTACTCTTCTCTGTGTGCCCCCATAGGAATCCAATTCCTATGGTGGCACACATGCAGATGCATTCTCTTGCCCTGCTGCATGCGTCCATAGATGCACACAGTGTGGCTTGGTTTCAAAGCTCCCCCCACTCTATGCTCACAGGATTTGATTGACAGCAGCAGTGGCAAACGGTTCCTGCTGCTTCCTCTCTATCTATTTGAGAGAGGAGAGCCACTGCAGACGAACACAGTCAGGACTCAGTACAAATACTGGAACATTTATCACCTTAGTGCAGGGAATGCATTAAGGTAACAAATATTTTCCCTTTAGAATTACTTTAGGACCCTCATTTTTCCCAGGATCTTGCTGGGAAGCCTGATATGTCACCCTTGTTAAGGTGCTGCAGGCAGAAACCAAGGTGCTGCCAGCAGAAGCAGGGGTGTGAAGTAAGTATATGTAAATTATTTTCCGAATATGTGGCAATTTGTTGTGCTCAATGTGGGAGGGAGATCCAAACAATAAGTGGACCTTGCATTTGCTGCAATATCTGCTTTGACTTGTTACAGTTGTAAAGGCTTACTTAGGAAACTAGAAAAGCTACAATTTCTGGGGAAATTGTGTGAAAGTGTTCTTGCCTCCACCAGTATTCTACAACTGGAGTGGGTGGAGTGGCTGGAGTAACTGTTGTAAAAAGGTTGGACTGGGCAGAGTAACTTTATGGAGTGGGCACAGTAACTGTGTGGAGTGTTTGGAGTGAGTAAAGATAGTAAACATTACACTAACCAATTGATTGATCAAATTTAAAAAGTGCACATGGCTACTTCGCAGTTACGTTGAAACATACATTTATAAAAACATTAGCAGCATTATCACCTCAAATACTCTCTACTGTAGAAAACGTATTTCCAAACCTTTAACCAGAAGCCGGCCAAACTGTCACAAATTCAAAATTAGATTTCAAATAGGGCAGAGAAGAGCGGTTAAAAACAAACTGCTCCAAATTGCTCACTTCTCTGGCGTCTTCAAATGGTCGTAGTTTTAAAAACTATAAATCCTACAGTGAAGAGCTTTATATTATGAGAATCACAAGACCCAGACCTACATTTTGATGCATAGTATGTCTCTGAAATATTAAAAATGAAGGCACAGTCGCAGTTTAGAAATTGCCCTTCAAATTTGAAGTGGCTAGAGTGCAGTTTCAATGAATGTCAATGGGCGGCGTGAGTTGCAAACAAATGGTCATATTGTGAAAACTATCAGGACTATGGCTTAGCCGTGGACATGTTTAGTGGAAGCAGGGATAGCTGAACGTTTTGATATAAGATTTGTGTAGGTGGGCTTGAAAATGAGGGAGTGATGGCAGTTTAGAAATCATGTCCTGATTTTTCAGCTCACACTCTAGCTTTTGTCACTCTGCTGCCTGCTCACACACCTGGGTTCCTATGGCAACTCACTCTACAGCAAGGGCAGAGGAGCGGTTAAAAACAAACTGCTCCAACTTGCTCACTTTACTGGCGGTTGCCATCTTCAAACGGTTGTAGTTGAAATATTATAAATCCTACAGCAAAGAGCTATATATATTGTGAGAATCACAAGAACCAGACCTACATTTTGATGCATAGTATGTCTCTGAAATATTAAAAATGAAGGCACAGTCGCAGTTTAGAAATTGCCTTTCAAATTTGAGCTGGCTAGAGTGGAGTTTCAATGAACGTCAATGGGCGGCTTGAGTTGCAAACAAATGGTCATATTGTGAAAACTATCAGGACTATATCAGGACTATGGCTTAGCCGTGGACATTTTTAGTGGCAGCAGGGAAAAAAGCAGCTCACACTCTAGCTTTTTTCAGTTCTCACTCTAGTTTTGAACATTCCGCTATTCATTCCTATGGGACCAGTTTCACCACAAAAACGCCGATATTTTTTGTGAACCATTCGGCGAAACGTTCCACAAAGTAATAGCACACCAATTGGGAACAATCCGCACGTTTCGGTATATTACTGTCTATGTAGTGTAAAAACTGTGGGAGGAGTTAGGGTGGTAAATTTGGCTATGATAATAAGAATATATATGTGAGATAACAGTAAGTGGTCTTGCCATGCAAGAACACTTAATAACATTTACCTTATTGACTTTGTTGTCTGAGGATGAGTCTTTCACTGAAAGTTAAGGAAAGTGAAAAATAGTGCTGATATGACTATTATTGCTGTCTTAAAGTATTGATGTTGATATAAAAGATTTGGTTCCTGGGCAGGCAGCTTTTGCACCTCAGAGGATCTCCACTGTCTCCTTGGCTTGTATTGTAATGTATGGTAACAAAAACTGAAATTGAAGTGCCACACCACTGCTAAGAGATCCAGTTGCAACATTTATTCCAATAAAAGTCAGGGGACAATCCAAAAAGTAGCCAGTACATTTCAGGTGTCCAAGAGCACCCCTTTTCTTCAGGACTCCATTGACAACAATTTGAAGTGCCTAGAGTTCAATTGGACCTTTTTGTTGCTATTTTTTCCAATGTGATTCCAAGCACAGGTCTTGTCTACGGCTGGTTTGGCAGCTGCCAAACACATCTCTGTGTATTAAAATTTAAGATGCAACCAACAAGATCTGTCATTGATTCTCTCAGACAAGGGGAATTTCTGGCATCAGTAGATGTACGAGATTCCTATCTACACATCCGCATTTTCACCTCACATCAGCGCTTTGTTTTTTGCTGTTGGAGACCAACACTTCCAATTTGCAGCACTGCCATTCCTGCTCTCCTATGCACACTAAGTGTTCACAAAAGTGCTTGCCCAGCTTCAGGCTGTTTTGCAAACCCATGACATTCATGTCAAAGGGTACTTGGACAACCTTCTACTGAAGGACTCTTCCACCATTACCTTTTCTGCCAACATCCAGAGAATGAGTTAGTTCCTTCAAACCTTTGGCCGGTTATTCAACTTTCCAAAGTCAGCTCTCCAGCCGTGTCACCCTTTGGAGTACTGCGACCTGATCTTGGCCAGAGTCCAAGGCAAAATCTTCCTTCCTCATCAGGAAGTTGCTTCCCTAAGGGTCCCAGATGTGGACCCTCCGATCAAAACAGCACACCTAAGTTCACGTCTGCATGAAGTTTCTGAGCTTAGTGGTAGCTGCCAAGGCAGTTCCCTTTCCATTTTTACTTCAGACCTCTGTAATCCAATATACACACGATGTGGAACAAGCACATTTTTATCTACTTTAATGGAATTGGGAAAAATCTTTCCTTCACCATGCCCTGGAAGGTCAAGACAATGAATGCCGGCCTTATAGGCTGGTGTGGTTTACAACTTCCAACTATCCAGGGGACCTGGTACCCAGAAAAGTCAAAACTCCCAATCAAAATTCTGGAACTGAGAAGCATCAGATTTGTTCTACAAGAGTGGACCTCCATTTTGCAGGATTGCCCAGTCAGGGTGCTGTTGAACAATGCCACAGCAGTGGCCTATGTAAATCATCAGGGAAGTAACAGAAGTCAAGCTGCTCTATGAGAATTATGTCTGCTACTCCCCTGGGTGAACATTTTCATTCCAACTCTCTTGGCTGTCCACATCCCTGAAAGGACAGTTGGCAAAGCATACTTCCTGAACCCAACAACACCTAGAACCGGGGAAGTGGTCTGTGCACCCTGAGGTCTTTCAAAGTTCCCTGTCAAAAGTTGGGAAAACCAGATGTGGATATCATTGCCTCCAACGACAAGCTGAATAAATATGTGGCCAAGACCAGGGATCCTGTAGTCTTCACAGAAGATGGTGTGGTGACTTCTTGGACTCACTTCAAACTGGTTTATGCCTTCCCTCTGATGAAGACTCTGCCTCAACTTCTGCACAACAGAAGTAAAGGGTCCTGCATCAAATTGGCCTTGACATACTCAGAGCCTTGGCCTCTTCCAAACAGACCAGACTTACTGGCCCAGAGCCCATTTTACTACGTTATACTCCTGTCATGATCTTCTTCAGTAAGACCAACTGAAGAAGCTTGTGAGAGGAGAGAAGCATAACGCATATAGGAACAGGAGCCACATTAGTAAGATAGATAATTTTGAAGATGTGGATGTATTAGTTGTGCAATTTTATGCTGTGAACATAGCAATTTGAGTACTTTTTTTTTTTTTTTTTTTGATTTTTAATGGAATTTTAATGAAATTTTAATCTTCTTAATTTTAATGGAATTTAAATGAAATAAGGGTATACAGAGAGCATTATTTTGGTCCTGTTTGTATTTGCATGTACATTAACCAAAGAGTGGAATAGGGCTGGTAGAGTACTGCAGGTGGGAGATAAAAGCCTGGAAGAGAGCAGACACCTAATAGTCCATGAAGGGGCCAAAGGCGTGTTATGACCTTAAAGTGATACTAAAGTCTTGTGGGTATTTTTTTCTTAAAAATAACAAGCATGTCTATACTTGCCTGCTCTGTGTAGTGGTTTTGCACAGAGCAGTCCAGATCCTCCTCTTCTTGGTTCCCCACTGGCACTCCTGGCCCCTCCCTCCTGTCGGGTGCCCCCATAGCAAACAGCTTGCACCCGAACTGGCGCGCTCCCGTGCCGCAGCTCTGCATGTCCATTCACACAGAGAGCCACGGCTCGTCCACACCCCCCTCCATCTCCTGATTGGCTCACTTGCTATGATTGACAGCAGCGTGGAGCCAATGGCTCAGCCAATCAGGAGTGAGAGTCCCCAGAGAACCGAGGCTCTTGTGGACCTTGCTGGATCAAGAGAGGGCACAGGTAAGTATTAGGGGGGCTGGGAGGGGGGCTGCTACACACACAAGGTTTTATACCGTCATGCATAGAATGCATGAAGGTAAAAAACCTTGAGACTTTACAACATAATAATAATAATATGACATTGGGGTCAACAAAAGAAGGTGAGCATGTGGTAAGAACACAGGGTAAGGCATGCAACACTTGGATGGAAGTAGAAAATTCTAGAATCACTACACAGTAGTGGAGGATTTATTTATAGACATTTTGAGAGATTCATTTTTTGATTGAACAATTTTGTTTGTTTAATATTACATGCTTTTTGGGTTTTATTTTGTTGTTTGCGCTACATTTAGACAGCAGACCTTAGCCCATCGTCTGCTGTAAACGAGTCACAGGAGTGCAGAACAAAGTGCACCCCCATGATCCACAGGAGAAGTATGGCCAAAATAGCTTTTAAACTAAATATACCAATGATAATTAAACCTTACTTTTTTTTTTTTTTTTTTTTTTTTTTTTTAAGTGGTCTTACTAATATTTTTCATGTTTCAATCTTCCTACCCTATACAAAAGTAGAAAAAAAATCTTTGACTGATGTTACGAGTTTAAAGCAAAACTAAAGTTGAAAAAAAAAGCAGAATGCAATGATTTGCAAATCTCATAAACCCATATTTTATTCACAATAGAAAGCAGAAAACATATCAAATGTTAAAATATTATTATTATTATTATTATTATACAGGACTTCTATAGCACCATCAGTGTACACAAATTGTACCATTTTAAGAAAAAAAATAAGGTGATTGTGAAATTGATGGCTGCATAACATCTCAAAAGAGTTGGGATAGGGCCATGTTTACCTCTCCCAGCAGCTGCAGACATTCACGCCTCTTGGAATGCTTCACCGCCTATGATCAGGAGGACCTTGCTATCATACTTCTATATAGTGATGAGGTCAGGCAGGTTCAGACATGAGTCCGAACCCACCTGAATTATCCTGCCGGAAAGTTGTCAATGTTGACAGCCAATCATAGGTGAAAGGGGTATTCCCTTCCCTGCAACTGCACGTAATAGCACTGTGACGGACTCCAGACACATCAACTGGGTATCTACAGTGTAGCATCCCCTCTTATTTTAGCTGCTTCCCAACCACCCTATAGCAGAAGTACTGCTACAAGGCGGTAGGGCTGTGCAAAATCGTGTGTGTATTTCCAGGTAGGAGACACGCGCCACCCTGCCCGCATCACTGTTGGTGGCCTCGACTGTCGATCACCAGGTCCCAGCTGGAAATACCTCGCTGACACCCAGCGATCGCCGAGGAACAGTGGTAGAGGGGAGGTCTGATGATTGGTGCCAATCCCTCCTCTGACAATTGCTGGTTATCGGCAGTACTTTCCTCATGCTGTGACAGCGTGAGGAAAGTGCAGCCAATAACCGGCAACTGCAGTTACCTGTGATCTGCTGTGTCATTAGACATGGCTGATCACGTGGTAAAAGGCCGCTGTGATTGGCCTTTTACCACCTCACGTGATCAGCTGTGTCCGTAGGACACAGCGATCACAGAGATCGCACAGTGCGCGCCCCCAGGGGCGCGTGGGAGGGTGCGTTTGGGAGGACGTCATATGACGCCCTCCCAGAACTGGCCGGCCGCAGTGAGGCCATCATTCGGTTTAGGGTTTTAACCACTTGCCCTCCAGAGGATTTACCCCCCCTTCCTGACCAGGGCATTTTTCACGATACGGTGCTGCGTTACTTTAACTGACAATTGCGTGGTCATGCAACACTGCACCCAAATGAAATATATGTCCTTTTTTTTCCCACAAATGGAACTTTCTTTCGATGGTATTTGATTGCCTGTGGTATAAACAAAAAAAAAGACTGACAATTTTAAGAAAAAAAACAATATTTTTGACTTTGCTATTAAACATGTCCAGTAAAAAAAATGTAATAAACTAAATGTCAACATAAATTTAGGTCAAAATGTATCCATGTCTTTGCTAAAAAAAAAAAAACAATATGTGTAAATTAATTGGTATACAGGAATCTTATAGTGTCTACAAATGGCGGTATATATACTGAATAATTTTTTTTATACTAGTAATGACGGCAATCAGCAACATATAGTGGGACTGCGGTGGGCATTCTGACACTGGGGGGGAACTAACTGTCACTGACATCCGCAGTGACACTAATACAGTGATCCGTGCTAATAAAAAGCACTGACACTGTACTAATGGCACTGAACAGGAAGGGGTTAACATCTCCCGCAGAGGAAGGCTAGGCAGATATGCACCACTCAACAACACAAAAATAAAATGTGTGTGTGTGAGATTTTGCGCAGCCCTGTAGCAGTATTTCTGCTATAAGGTGGTGGGAAAGCGGTTAAATAGGGTTTTATGATATTTGCAAATCATTGCGTTCTGTATTTATGTAGATTTTATACTGTGCCCCAACGTTTTTAGAATTGGGGTTGTGGAATCTTTATTCTTCAGTAAAACACAACCACCTGCCTGTTCACAATCTTCTTCAGAACATGCTATAAGTTGCACGTGTGCAGCTTAGGACACATTCTTGGCATGCTTGATATCAGAATTAATGACTTTCTGTGCACATGTTCTGGATTTACCTTGTCCCACACCATCCATACAATATGGCTGAAGACTGAAGAAACCAAGAAGAAGATGTCAGTACTGGCGAGGAGAGTTTGCAGACTTTATTTCTGCTCTAAAGCCTAACTCCAATTTCCTATAAATACACCTCCTTTAGTTGAACTATATACGATGCATGTATTTTAGTAGACCTCTTCTAAATTTTTTTTTTTTCTGTTGTAAAGAAATTGCTGTTTGTTTCGCCATATCCTTTTCGATCGATTCTAAAAGGCAAGGTCTGCCTTCAGTATAACCACGTGAGCAATCTCTGTGTTGTAATGAGGCTGCAGCATCCACATTCCTTTAGAAGTGAATGAACCTTAGAGAGTATCTAACAAAAAAATGTAATTTCTGCTGGGGATGCCTATAATTTCATAACACATGAAGACTCTTGGAAAAACAAAGGTCCAGTCGTACAAGCAGAAACTTACTTTTCTGCTCTTTCTGTATGCAGTATACAGGCCAACCATGAAAAGGCATAATACAAGGAAGCAACTTTTCATTTTATGACAATTTTAGAAAATTGCAGCATCTGCAGTTTAAAGTGAAAGGTGGTTTTCTTATGTGAAAACATTGTTTGTACACACATTAGAAAATCTGCATGAGATAATGAACTCTTCTGCTGCTTGCGGGTAATTGTTATTGCTGGTTCATTAACCCCTTCACAATTCTCAAGTATTTAGCATCCCTTGCAAGTATCGGGCCGTTTATGGTGCCATAACACTGACAGCAGCTGCTTGGAAGCCTCATTCTTTTACCAAGGTTCTGCCTGTAAATTAGCATGAGCTGTTTGATTAATTCTGTTAAGCAACATTTTGTAAATTAAATCTTTGCCGGTTCCTTGTGATTAATTCCCCAAATTCAGAACTTTGACTGGAACCGCAAACAGACGTCTGTAAAATGAGTTTCTTGGTCATCAAAGTGAAAAAGGAGCAAGTTATTAATTCATCTAGATGGTGGTTGGAGATATGTAAATGATTCCATATTCTCATAGAATGTCATTTTATGGAGGGAGCTGTACAGCCCTGCAGGGCCTGTTGAGCACATGAATAATAACAGATGGGTCACATGATGCTGTAAGATTAACCCTTTCCTTCCTGTTATAGATCAAAGGTATGTCTATAGACCAAGCTATTGCTCAGCTGGAATTCAACGACAAAAAAGGAGCAAAGATCATGAAAGAGGTAATATGCACCTTGCCACCGTGAAGAAATTGCAACAGTTGGTATAAAGAGAAACAACCTTAATTAGGACATATGGATGAATCTGAATTGCCACTCATGTTATAATAGTGGATTATAGTTAGTAATAGGTTTGGATAATATTGCACCCTTTCCTCGCTAGAGTAGAAGTGTGTGCTGATACGCATTTGTATTCTTTTCCTGTTAGAGTTTTAAGGCTCCCATGGAGGCTGACCTGCCTCCTGCCTGAGATCAGGTCTGATTAATTGCTGGGTGGGGGTGAGAATGTGAATTAAACAAATTCATTTTCATTCACGTAATACTGATGGCATCATTGTTACATAGTTTAAGTGTTCATTATCACCACTGAGCTTAGGATGGCCATGCAGCCTAAATGCTCATTCATTCACTGGGTAGCTTTGTATTTTTTTTAATGCATTCAAAGCTTTCCACTTATTGGCCGAGGTGGGTGGATTCAGAAAATACAAAGCTTCTTGTAATGACCGAGCATTCAGCCTGACTTAATTTTGTTATAGGACAGCCACTGCACCTGTTAAGGTCAGTTTACACAATTTCTGCATTCCAGATGCATTTCTGCATGTTTTTTAATGTGTTCTGATGCATTTTTTTAATGCATTTCGGTGTCTTTTTTTCCCCCCTCTTCCCTTTTTTCTTTGTCTCAGTTGAGGACATGTGTGTTTTTGATGCATTTTGCTGTGTTCCATACAGAAAAAATGCAACATGTTCTACTTTTGTTGACTGCATTGGAATGCACTGCACTGGTGTGAACTAAGGCCAGTGGAATCCATGTTGAACACTGGCCATGCATTTTTGATGTAGACTAAAAATGTGCTGGACTGCATCTGGTGTGAACCATCCCTTAAAGAAAACTGTCCAAACTATTTAAAGTGAAATAAAACATGGAGTTAGGCTTTAACACGTTTCTCATCAGTTGTACCCCCATGACGTTTATTATTTATTGGATTATACTGTGCTGACATTTACTGCATCCAATAATGTACAAGGTGAAGACATACGGGGCCTGTAGCAATAACAATATAGCATAAGCCAACACCTGAAACAGCAAGGATTAGAAGGCAGCAATTGACAATTGACAAAGGGAAGTTGTGGGAAAGGTAGCTAGATAAGTGTAGATTGCATGGATTCGGAAATAATTGGTGGGAGAAATTTGCTAGTAAATTAGCTATCCGCCTTTCAGAAAGGTATGATTGTAGGGCCAGTTTACAGGCTGAGAGTAATGGTGAATGCCTTATAGCAGACAGAAGAGGTCCAAAAATAGGAGCACCATGATAAAAGTCCAGGAGGTATTGGTAAAATCGGGGGGAAGAAAGAAAGAGAGATGAGAGCAAAAGATCATTTACCTGCCACAACTGCTAAAGAAAAACAAGTCCTTATTTAAAGGAAATCTGTTGTTTCCTAAGTCCCCCCCCCCCCCCCCCCCACAATTGATAAACTGTTTCTGGAAAACTGAAACTTTGCAGCACTTCGTCTTCTTCTCCACCTCCCTCGCCCCAAATTATGGTCCAGTGCCCCAACATGCCTTGATAAGGGATGGGACACTGCTCTGATGACTTGCTGAGTTCTGTAAGAAATGTTAGAATCCCTGATAACTATTGATGAATAATACATTTTTTTAGTTCAGTGTTTTCCATTACGAAGATATCCCCTTATTCCCAAATCAGCTATATCTCAGGCTGTATTTGTCTGTTTGAGATAAAAAGAGAAACACAGTTACAGCACATGAAACTTCAAAGGCCCTGTTTGCTGGCTTTAATTTCATTAGAGCAGGTGATGTTCACCAATTCATTGGGATATTAATGAAAAATATATATTTTATACGTACTGTATATATATTTTAGTTGTTCGGGTTTTCAGTTCTGTGTTCCAATTGGGAAGATTTTCCCTTACTTCCTGACCCAGCTATATAATGGAGAGTAAATCTGTCTGGACCACTTTCACCAGAAAAGATGTCCGTTTTAGGAAATTTCCCTTTTTATTCTTGTTCCAGTGAAATATGAAATTCCTGCTCATTGTTTGTTCCTTGATACAGGAATTGAAGGGAAATATTCTCTCAAATGTAGGCACAAGCAGCAATTAAAATGAGATGTTTGACTGGTCCCCCACTCTGTGCAAATCTTTTAACAGTTTTGGCCGGTGTTTTATTGTAACTATAGTGGCAACCATCATATAAAAAAAAATGCAGTTGACATGGCAGTGAAGTTACCTTGTCACTAGATGGAGCTGCTGCTTGTATAATGAAGAATCATAGACTATTCATGACAAACCTTCATTTTCCTTGACTGATAAATAATACTAAGGTCATATGTGGTCAGAATATTTAAAGGTTAAGTCCAGGCAAAAAAATTTTTTTAATAATTGACAGCTGCTTTTCTATGTCTAGATTTTTGTTTCAGACATTTAGTGTGACAGACAAAATAATGGCCTGCCTAAGGTTTCAGCCCATCTGCAGTGCCCTGCTTGTGAGAGTTTGAGTGTGTTCAGGTCAACTCTAACCACTTCAGGCCGTATAGTCTGAGCTAAAAGTATATCCTCCCTGGATGCTAAAGGAAATGCCAGGGAAATCTAAAAAAAAAAAACCTAAAACTTGCAAACCGTTTAGGTTTATGCATTTTATCTGTGTATTATCAGTTTGATGGGAGTTCTACTTGTATGATGGTAATCAGTGAACCTAACTTGATGTTGAGTACAAGTACTGGAAACAATTCAGTTTGATCATATAGTTAGCTTTCTGAGGCCTCCTATCTTACCTGTAAAATTTAATGCATCATTTCCCATTGCCATTCCTATAAAGCACAATCGATCATAGCTTGCAGCCACTTTTTGTGGGAATACCAGGGGGGTTGCTTGTGGCCTTGTTCTGTGGGTGCACCAATGTTTAAGAACAGTGTGGCCACCAACCTAGCCCAGCTTTTGCCTACTCTTCTTACCTGCTTCTTTGTGCCTCTACAGAAAACAATGGTCACCAATATCTCTACAGGGTCTTAATGTGTTGTAGTGAGCACTGACGACAACCTGACAGATCTGTTTTATGTGATTAGGTGTTTTAGATGTATGGGGTTTTTTTTGTTGTTTTTTTTTGGTCTCTCTCTGCCCTGTTTTTGTCCCCGCTCTCTCTACTCTGTGACTTATAGGCTTTGCCAAATCCCTTTCCCAGACCAGCTTTGTTATTGCTACTGTGCGGCTGCACGACTTGGCGAGATGCTGTTTTGTATCAGTAATTTTAGCATGTAAATGGATAATTTCAGATATTGCAGAGGAAAATATTTATTAACTGTGTCTAGTCCACAGTTTTGGAATGACTATTGAATTTAAAAACTGATTTTCTTTTATGTATGAGTTCTTCCTTAACAAAAAAAATCCATGCTTTTTGTATTTTATGAATAATATAGGTCTTGCTTGAAGCCCAGGACTTGGCTGTCAGAAATCACCATGTGGAGTACAAGTCCAACCTCCATATAGGTAAGGCCTTCAGGGAACAAAATACAGTATGTGATTACTTTGGTTTGTCTTTTCATGTTTTCCTTTGAAAAGTGGAAAGACAGCATGACAATACTTCCTAATGCCGTGACCCTTTAATACAGCTCCTCATGTTGTGGTGACCCTCAACCATAAAATTATTTACCCAGTAATTATAATTCATGAGTGTTGTTTTACCTCCAATACTGCTGCTTTCAACACAGTAGCTGCTTTTAACAGAGTAGCTGCTTTCAACACAGCAGCTGCTTTCTACACAGTAGCTGCTCTTTACACATCGGAAATATGTGTTTTCTGATGGTCTTAGGCGACCCCTGTGAAAGGGTCTTTCGACCCCCAAAGGGGTCACGACCCACAGGTTGAGAACCACTGCTTTAGAAGAAGACTCATAGGCATAATTATTTCAATAAGCCAAGCCAAATTTAGCATCCAGAACTCTCCCTACTTTTATTCTCATTTCTTTACTTGCATTGTGCTGGAAAGTTCATGTTGGTTTGTCAGCTAGGCAAAATACCTTGTCTACTTCCATGAAGTTGCAGGTTTATCAGAGTCTGCATTTTGATTGGCTAAAGCATGTATATGTGGTGGCAGACTGTCTTGGTTGCTTGTTTTGTTTTGTGACCAGCCTATTACAGGCATAGGGCAGATCGGCCAGATGTATGTGACTCTTGGCTTGTTTAGTCAGTTGTAGTAATAAATGTATATATTCAGGATTCCTTTTCAAAGACACCCTATTGCCAGACCATTAAAATTCCAAAATTTCCTATAAGATTATATTTACGCACATTTAATGTATTTTAGGCATGTTACCAGTAAAAGCACCCTTTTGTGTAGGCATTCAAAAACCTTGAGTCTACTGCTGGGCACTGCATCCCCAGATGTGATGTCACCTATCATGCTCAGAGCTGTCTCTCAATTGAATCTCTGGATTATTCCCCTTTGCTCCTTCCCTGATCATATAAAAGGTTTTTAGGGAGACGAGGGAAAAGCCAGGAGTTGGAACAGCACAGACAGTAATCGGATGCTCCTAGAAGAAGAGGGCTGTGATACGCAAGGAGGAAGGGGAGCTGTGCTACGGAATTGACACTTTTCAGAGTGTCAGTTCCTGAGCAAGTTCTGAGGCATATTGTATATGAATAAAAAATAATTTGTAGAAAGGAAGGAAATCGTGCAAGTAAGCTTTTTAAATACTAAATTCTTCTGTGCATTTTTTTTTTAACCGCCTCCCACCCACCATATAAGGTAATGATGGGAGGGTGGCGGTTCTCTCGTTCTTGGAGGATGTCACATGACGTCCTCCAACTCTGGGACGCACAACACGGCAATCTGTGGTGCACTGTGTTCCTGGGACACAGCGGATCACCAATCAGTGGAAAGAGCCAATGACGTTGGCTCTGTCAATTGATCAGCTGTGTCCAATCACAGCTGATCGCATGTGAATGAGGAAATGCCGGTTATCGGCATTCCTCTTCTCACAAGCTGTCACGCTGACAGCTCGTGAGGAGAGGAGAGCCGGTGATTGGCATTCCTCAAAGGGGACATGTACACTGATCATCAGGGCACTAATGATCAGCGTAGCCCCATCAGTGTCACCTGTCGGAGCCCATCAATGCCACATATCAGTGCCTACCAGTGCACATCAATGCCACATATCAGTGCCCATCTGAGCTGCCTTTTAGTGCCAACTATCAGTGCCACCTATCAGTGCCGCCTAACAGTTCCAGTCAGTGCTGCCTTTCAATGCCCATCAGTGATGCCTGTCAATGCCCATCAGTGCCTCCTCATTAGTGCAGCCTATCAGTGCCCATCACTGCAGCCTCATTAGCGCACAGCAGTGAAGGAGAAAAATTACTTATTTACAAAATTTTATAACAGAAACTAAGAAAAAACTTTTTTTTTTTTTTTTTCAAAATTTTCAGTTATTATTGGTTTGTTTAGCAAAAAATAAAAAAAAAACCCCAGAGGTGATTTAAATACCACCAAAAGAAAGCTCTGTCTGTCTCAAAAAAATGATAAATATTTCATATGGGTACAGTGTTGTATGACCATGCAATTGTCATTCAAAGTGCAACAGCTGAAAATTGGCCTGGGCAGGAAGGGGGTAAAAGTGCCTGGTAGAAAAGTGGTTAAATCGATAGTCTCTTTAAAGCAGGGAGGAAAAAAACACAATTTCCGCTCCCAGCAGTGGTTTTTACTCTGACTCACAACAGGATACCTCAGGAATCCAGGGCATTCTGTAATCTAGGTGTTCCTTGGTAACTAGCTCTAACCTATCACACTTCCACCTAATACATCATAATATTGACCCATCACTGATAGGCAGCTTCACTAACCAATTGCAAAGCACATGTGGCAGAAGGGGATGAACTGAACTTGGCAACCAAAGTCTATGTCTGCATTAGGCCTTGGGTAGATGGGCAAATGCTTTATGCGTTTAGGTGCATTCAGCTTTCATTTTAAATTGGTTTAAGATGCTTTTGAGATTATTCTAGATGTGCTTCTGATCATCCTAAGCTGCATGAAGCTGATTTTGCATTTCATTGGCAGGTATGGTTAGAGAAACCGTTCAGGAGTAAAGAAATGCCAGTGATACAAGCCATAACACAACACCCCAGATTTTAAACATGTCATTGCACATGGCAGAGAGTCATAGGAGGTGTGCAAGCCATTCATGATAGTTGGGAGTTAAATGGTTTTCCTTTTTGTTTTCACTTCTGCTTCACTTTAAGAAGTAGTGCTTATAACAAGTCCCTGTCTCCTTTTTAGCTGAGTCATTTTCCAACAAAGGAACGTATCTAAAGAGGCTTCGTTACCACGCACGAGGCAGATTCGGAATCATGAACAAGGTGCACTGCCATTACTTTGTCAAGTTAGTGGAGGGTCCTCTTCCTCCTAAAGAAGAACCAATCACAGGCTTCGATCAGGCTAAGGACTATGTTCAGAAACTGAGAAACCGCACTATCATCCACACCCTGTGACACTGTCGTTGCAGACGTTTCCTAGAGCTGCCGTGTGAGACGGTGAACTGCATTCTTAACCCGCACTTGTGTTTATAAAATTCTGTCTATAAATTAAATGTATTCCTTTGAGTTTATTAAAGACTTTCTGTTTTTCTGGGTTGTATTGTGTAAAGATTGGTAAAAGAGACTGCGAAGGTTCTGAACAGAACACATTTTGATGTATAATTTTTTTACCCATACACCATGATTTTATATGGCCCTTACAAGATAGTAGATTGGGCATTGCCAGGAAAATGCATAGAAACATGTAAAAGAAGGCCCCAGTCCCTCACAAAAGCACTGTAAAAAGCTGCAGTAGATTTTATAACAAAATATAAAGGATAAATCTAAAAATGTCCTTTGTCTAAATAGAACTATGGTTAAACCATAGGATATGTCACCCGTATCGGTAAGCGTGAGCTCTGTATTTGAATGTACGCCTATTGGATAGGCGCTGCTTTTAAGAGTGGGAAAATGCTGTCTTCTCCGCTTTGAAATAAAGCTTGGTACACACAGGTAGGTAGGTTTTTTTTTCCGTTCAACCCAGTGAGCTGCACGAAAACACAAAAACACTGAGGAGCTTGCAATACTAACTATGCAATGTTAGTACACCGATATCCCTCGATGAGCTATTATGTTCTGACAGAGGGACTGGCCCCCTGCCAGAACACACCAGTCAGTGCTTGCAGCCATTGGCTGCAAGCACTGCTCGGATGGTGATCATCCGCTTGTTTTCCAGCAAGCCTGTTTGATAGAAGCCAGAAAGGCTGCTGTACACACTGGCTGAATGTCATCTGGTTTCTGTTAAACCAGCTGATATTCGACCTGTTTGTATCAGCCTTTACACTAGTGTTGTCACCCCTGCTGCTGTTTTAGATGTTGGCACTGTCCTCGCTCCACCCACAGCCTTTTCAATTGACAGTACATGCTCTATCTGCACGAGCTAGGCAAATGTTGTAAGGCCCTGCTCAGTCTTTCACACCCCCTCAAACACTAGGATAACTCAGGCAAGATCGATGAGAAATTCAGCTTCCTAGCTTCATTTTACCTTTGAAAAAGAAGTAAATTACATTTGTTATAAGACATTCAACATGCCACTTAAGACTCCTACAGGGGGATTTACTAAAGCTGGTTCACTAAGAATCTGGTGCACCTGTATATGGTAGCCAATCAGCTTCTAACCTCAGCTGTTCAATTAAGCTTTGGCAATAAAACCTGGAAGCTGATTGGCTTCTATGCAGAAGTGCACCTGATTTTGCACTCTCCAACTTTAGTAAATAAACCTCATAATCAGGATGGGGAGTTAAAGTAGTTTTAAAGGCAGAATCTATTTTTTTAAACCTTGATCTATTCTATGCATTAAGGTTGAAAAAAAAACCACCTCCACTTCCTCTATATTTACCTGACCTCAAATTTTGATCCAGACGTGCATGAGAGCAGAGGCTCTCTCCTTCCTCATAGGCTCAGAGACAGCAGTGGGAGCAAATGGACTTCTGACCATGGATTTATGTTGGGTGGGCCCATGTGGCAGCAGTTCAAGTTGTGAAAAGCAATTATGCTTTGTTACTGGCCTCTCAGGCATCAAGTCACATGAGGGCAGGGTGAGGGTGCTGTGTAAGCTCTTTGTTGCCTAGTGGGTTAATGGGGAAAGTAGCCATAAGCTGCTGGTGGCACTGTCATTAAAGTGAACCTGTTCATTTACCCTGCGTGGTGAAAACAGCCTTTTATCCCCAGGGGTTTTTTTTTTTTAAACCTTTATAGAATCAACCTCAAGTGCTACACAACCTGCCTAGAGTAATTTCAGTAAAATGTGAGAACTATCATCTACCATCATGAGGGTTTTAGTGACAGTTTCTCTAAGGTAAATTAGTTTGCAATGTAATACATCTGTCCTGACTAGGAGTGCCTTTTGGTCCCCTTTGAGTTCACTGTCTGGGCATTTTTCATTCATGAAACCTGTAATTAGACAAATATATTTAAAAAAAATGTACACAGTAATTAGTATGTACATTGGCAGAAACCAGAACCAGGCCTCTATTGAGCAACTTTATTAGCTGAGAGACATTGACACTGATAATTGAAGTATAACTTTACAATGACATTTTTTAAACAGCATAAATTAGAGCTATGGTAGCAGCACAATCTTCGATGCAGAAGCCTGTAATTAATCATCCTCTCACACTATTATGCGGACAGCCCAGGCCACTTACTGTGTGTGCCTCTGATTTGGCTCTGGTGGAAGGTTTAAAATATTCCCGAATGAAGTTATATTACCTTTTTTTTTGGGGGGGGGGCGTGCAAAATGACATGCTCTGGATTGATCACACTTCCACTCCTAATATCTTCCATTTTCTACCCAGTCACTCTGTTAGCTTGTGGAAGAGCCAAGTCTAAACCCAGTGAGAGCTCCATGTCTGTGTCAGAGCTAACACATGGTTAATCACCCCGGTGGGCACCCGGCTGTGAAAGCTTGTGGCTTCACAGCCGGGTGCCCACTGCGCATGTGCAAGTAGCGCTGCGCTTTGTGAATGGCCTCGTAGTCTTCTGGAACCTGTCGTGTGTCCCAGAAGACTACAGGGAGAGAGGTGGGGAGGACAACTTCCGCTTCTCCTAGGTGATCATAGTGGAAATGGGCCAAAGGTGGCAAGCCTTAATGGGGAGCGGGGGACAAAGGCTTACCCCTGGTTCACATATGTGCGGCCATGCGGGCTGCGTTTTACACGGGTGAAAGAGCCCATTCATTTGAATGGACTGCTGTGCCCTTGACACGCCAGGAAGAAGTCCCTGCACTTCATTGGAAAATGCAGCCCGCACGTGAACCTCAGATCCCAGTACGGTTGCGTTTTCCAGTGTGGGCGGCATGCCATTAGAACTAATGGCACTTGCCCACTGGTCCACATTTCTCTGTGCGGGTGGTGCAGCTGCATGGATTTTCATGAGGATCTGCAGCTGCACCACCTGCACAGATGTGAACCTAGGGTTAAAGCGGAACTTCTCCTTTTGGGTGGAGCTCCGCTTTAAGTAAAAATATGCAAACCTTTCCATTAGCAAGTGTCCACATCAGTGTCTTATGTTGATCTCTCTTTCCCCCAACACCCAATTACATATAAATCAATAGTGGATACCAGAGTTTTTCAAAAAAAAAAAAAAAAAAAAAAAACTTTAAAGGCCGTCATGACTCAATTATAAAGTCTATATACTTCCTCGGACTAAAGGTCAAACCCCTGTATTACATTGTAACAGGGACAAAAGAGTTACATTGCATCTTAGCAGAGTACGTTGACTTTCAGTGATCCTCTGCACTGCGTAGAGAATGCTTGATGCTCACAATTAAAGCCACTTGCTGGCGTCTCTAGATCTGTGCACGATACCCAGCTGAATGTTGCTGCAGACTCCTTCTGATCAGCCTGATTACAGGATTACAGTAATGTAGTGTTCAGAGCTTTGTAGCTGCAAGTGTTGCCAAGTCCTTGTTTCCAACGGATTTGTGCTCTAAGTGCCATACAGTAGAGGGAGCTGCAGAATTTCAAACTAAATCTCCCAAACCAGAGCGTGTAGAGACTAAAAATACAACACAGAGGACAAAAGGCCGGGTAGACTGTTCAGAAAGTCACCCTCATGGGGCTGAAAATATAGGACATGTGCCGAAGGCAAAATTAGTATGAGTTTTATTTCAAATTATAGTAGAAAGAGTGGAGATGTGCAGTCACCCACTGCAATCAATGAGAAGTCACCTTCTATGAAAGGGACCACTAACTGTAAGACAATCTTGTTAAAAATAAAAAAAAAAAGGGTTGCCCCCCCACATGACCTGTTACCCAACCTTAACCACTTCCAGTCCAGACACTTTCACCCCCTTCCTGTCCAGGCCAATTTTCAGCTTTCAGCGCTATCACACTTTGAATGACAATTGTGTGGTCATGCAACACTGTACCCATATGAATTTTTTAGGATTTTTTTGAGACGGATAAAATTTATTTTGGTGGTATTTATTCACCACTGGGATTTTTATTTTTTTGTTATGTAAATGAAAAGGTCCAAACATTTTGAAAAAAAGTGTTTTTCTTATAAAATTTTGCAAATAAATAATTTTTCTTCATAAATCTTGGCCAAAATGTATTCAGTTATCTTTTTAGTAAAAAAAAAAATAACCCAAATTAGTTTATAACCAAAAAAAATGATAATTTTTCTAAATTTTTTTTAACATTTTTTATTTTATTTTTTATATATTATTTATGTTTTTTTAACATACTGTCACCCTAGCAGTACAGTGTCACCATAGTAGATTTTTTTTTTATTACACTGATTGCTTTTACACCCATAAAGGCTGTAAAAGCAATAATTTCTCCTTTCTCTGGCTGCATTTTTGCAGCCATTGAGAACTACTGAGTGAGCTGTGATTAGTCACAGCTTGTCACATGGTACAAGGCTGTTGTGAATAGCCTTGTACCATGTGACCTCTGTGATCATTCACAGATTTAACACATAGTAAGCAATGATGTCAGAAGTGACATCTTGCTTACTACTCTGCATGTGATCACTGATTCACTGATGTGATCACATAATCGGGACCTCGCACAGAGGTCCCGTCCAACGTTCGGTGTTCCTGAGGACACAGCGGGCACTGGATTGCGGCACTGCGCGCTCCCAGGAAGCGCGCACAAGCAGGGTGCGGGGGGGGGCATTTATAAACAGCCAACCGACCCTGCCATGCCACCGTCCGTCCGTTTATATACAACGGCCAGACTGGAGGTGGTTAAACATGCTGCAAGTACAGAAAAATAACTGTTGATGTGCCAGAAATACAGTGGGGGAGATTTACTAAAACTGGAGAGTGCAAAATGTGGTGCAGCTGTGCATGGCGGCCAATCAGCTTCGAACTTCAGCTTGTTCAACTAAGCCTTGCTAAAAAAACATGGAAGCTGATTTCTATGCAGAGCTGCACCACAATCTGCACTCTCCTGCTTTAGTAAATCAAC